TAATCATAATCACTGTATGTAAGGAAGTGGGGCGGTGGGGTAGCCTAGTGGTTCAAGCGTTGGCTCGTCACGCCGAAGACCCGGGTTCGATTCCCCACATGGGCACAATGTGTTAAGCCCATTTCTGGTGTCCCCCGCCGTGATATTGCTGGAATATTGCTAAAAGCGGCGTGAAACTAAACTCAGTCAGTCAGTATGTAAGGAAGTGGACTGCTTGTTTGTATTGAGACGATCGGTACCCTGGCAACATGGGACGATGCTCATACTATCAGTCACTGGTTGATTGTTTTCAGACAACTATTACATGGCTTGAGTTATGCTGAGTGTGGCAAGAGAAATCATGCACACTCTATTTTACATGATATATTCCTGAGTACATTATGAAACTTATTCCTCAGTACATTATCAGATTTATTCCTGAGTACATTGAGATTTTCTCCTCAGTATATTATAAACCTCAGTACATTGAGATTTTCTCCTCAGTATATTATAAGCCTTAGTACATTATGAGATTTTCTCCTCAGTATATTATAAACCTCAGTACATTATGAGATTTTCTCCTCAGTATATTATAAACCTCAGTACATTATGAGATTTACTCCTCTGTTTAGGTTGAAACTGTAACAACATACAGTGCGCCAGAGCCCGAGCCGGAACCGGAACCAACCCCAGCCCCAGCTCCTGTCAGTCAGCCTGAGCCAACACCAGAGCCCACACCAGAACCCCCAAAACAAGCAAACGGAACTGGCGATATCTTTGGCCTCAGTGCCAAGGAGATGAAAGAGAGGCTGAAGTCCCGAAGAAAGGTTGACCCACGTACCCAAGGTGTAGGTTTCGGGGAGAAGTACAAAGTGTTTGAGCGTCTGTGAACGTCTTCTCATCCTTAAATTGTCCAATCAGAACCAGCATAACCAGTTGGAGGAGCTGCTTCAGTGCGGAGCTGCTAGCAGCTAGCGACATGAGACTTTTCTAATAATGGAAACATGATACAGATTTTTGCTCGAATTTTCTTTTTGAATTTGTTGCGAATTTGTGGATATGGTTTGTGAAAATGCCTATTCACTCTTGGGTCACCTTCCAGACAGATTCATAATGGACCAAGTTTATTTGACTTTACACCTACACCTATATATATCTATATATATCTATACATATATTCGTTACATATTACATTATGTAGAAAGCTTTGTTGATATCCTCAAAGCAAGTAAGAGAACTCGTGTTTTATTATTGTTGACGATTGAGAGACCAGGATGATTTTATACACTTATGCATTCCATGTTCATTGCCTAGTGTACAGAGACTTTGAAGACTAGGGGTAGTAGTATATCTGAAGCTTAAGAGGAACTAGAATGATTTGAATAATTCTGCTAACTCAAGTCCACAGTGTGATAATGTACAGAGTTTTACAGGTGTAGACTGTCGCTCTGTCCACTCTGGCGACACAGACATGTCCTTCGGACTGCTCACTTGTGTAATTATTCCAGGAACAATTGTATACACATATATTTTGTTAAGAATAAATTCATTTCAAAAACATTGTCTCATGCTTTTTGACACGTCTGCGTGGTTTGATGAAATATTGTTGACTAGTTGTCCCCCGCCACAACGCGGAATGGGGACTATGTCTTCAGCAGCGTCCGTAGGTACGTCCAGATTCTTGTTAACGCAATATCTTATGAAATGTTGTACCCAATGTCTTCAAATTTGGTGACAGCCTACATTGGGGGATTACGCAGACACCAGTCGATTTGGGTGACCATGACCCATTTCAAGATCACGACACTTTGACGACTTTTCAAATTCTTGTTAGCGTGATATCTCATGCACTGTTGTACCGAGTGTCTTGAAGTTTGGTGACATCCTACATTAGGGGATCATGCAGACACCAGTCGATTTGGGTGACCGTGACCTTATTTTCAAGGTCACCACTACATTGACCACTTTTCAAACTGTTGTTAACGTGATATCTCATGCACTGTTGTACCCAGTGTCTTCAAATTTGGTGACAGCCTACATTGGGGGATTACGCAGACACCAGTTTATTTTGGTGACCTTGACCTTATTTTCAAGGTCACCACGATACTTTGACAGCTTTTTAAAGGCAATATCTCATAAACCATTGCACCCAATGTTTTCAAGTATGTTGACAGCCTACATTGGGTGATTATGCAGACACCAGTCATTTCAGGCATCTTATATGTGACCCAAAAATAAAAAGTAGTAAATATAGATATTCCATTCTTTAGCGTCGGGGGACATTGCCATATCAGTGGCAAACATTTGTTTATTTCCTGTTTTACTGATGTCAGCAAGGAGCACTGGATTGAAACTGGTCCTGGCATCTACTGTGAGGAGGCCGATGGTATGATCAGTAAGAGGCAACAGCAGGGCTCCAGATAATTTTTCAACATCAGGAGTACGTACTTATTTTTTCAATATAGGAGTACAGGAACAACTAAAGAGTACATTTAGAGTACTGAATGGAATTTAATGGAGTATCAGTAATCTTGTGTTTCATTTCATGTATGCACAATAACATTGCTACTCTTGTGTAAACAGGTCAATAAAACAATACTTTTTCAGATAAATACATGTACGTCTGTAAATGATTCTAAGACCGTACACCACTGCTGTGGTGTGTATCTGCTACGTTTCCTAAATTATTTCCTATTGTATAGTGTATAGTTTTTATCCGTACATACGCCGATACGGCCTTTCTCTGGAGCCCTGCAACAGGATCATCATACTCTACTCAACAGGATCATCATACTCTACTCAACAGGATCAACATACTCTACTCAACAGGATTATCATACTCTACTCAACAGGATCATCATACTCTACTCAACAGGATCATCATACTCTACTCAACAGGATCAACATACTCTCTACTCAACAGGATCATCATACTCTACTCAACAGGATCATCATACTCTACTCAACAGGATCATCATACTCTACTCAACAGGATCATCATACTCTACTCAACAGGATCATCATACTCTACTCAACAGGATCAACATACTCTACTCAACAGGATCATCATACTCTACTCAACAGGATCATCATACTCTACTCAACAGGATCATCATACTCTACTCAACAGGATCATCATACTCTACTCAACAGGATCATCATACTCTACTCAACAGGATCATCATACTCAACTCATCTACTCAACAGGATCATCATACTCTACTCAACAGGATCATCATACTCTACTCAACAGGGATCACTCATACTCTACTCAACAGGATCATCATACTCTACTCAACAGGATCATCATACTCTACTCAACAGGATCATCAGGATCATCATACTCTACTCAACAGGATCAACATACTCTACTCAACAGGATCATCATACTCTACTCAACAGGATCATCATACTCTCACTCAACAGGGATCAACATATCTCTACTCAACAGGATCATCATACTCTACTCAACAGGATCAACATACTCTACTCAACAGGATCAACATACTCTACTCAACAGGATCATCATCATACTCTACTCAACAGGATCAACATACTCTACTCAACAGGATCAACATACTCTCACTCAACAGGATCATCATACTCTACTCAACAGGATCAACATACTCAACAGGATCTCATACTCAACAGGATCATCATACTCTACTCAACAGGATCATCATATACTCTACTCAACAGGATCATCATACTCTACTCAACAGGATCAACATACTCTCACTCAACAGGATCAACATACTCTACTCAACAGGATCATCATACTCTACTCAACAGGATCATCATACTCTACTCAACAGGATCATCATACTCTACTCAACAGGATCAACATACTCTACTCAACAGGATCATCATATCTACTCAACAACAAGGATACATACTCTACTCAACAGGATCATCATACTCTACTCAACAGGATCATCATACTCTAAACAGGATCATCATACTCAACAGGATCATCATACTCTACTCAACAGGATCATCATACTCTACTCAACAGGATCATCATACTCTACTCAACAGGATCAACATACTCTACTCAACAGGATCATCATACTCTACTCAACAGGATCATCATACTCTACTCAACAGGATCATCATACTCTACTCAACAGGAGCTGAAGATCACCTGATTAGTTCAATATATGTCAGTCATTAATTTCATACGTCTGACGTGAACTGCAGTAACGTGCGCGGAATTCATGCTGGTCCTGTGGTCCCTGGCTAGTGAAAATTCATCAGGACCGCTAAATGATAATTTTCAGTGGTCCTGGTGGCCAGTGAATTTTGTATTGATAGTTAAGTAAATCAATGAATGTTATTTTGGACCAGTGAAGTACTGACAGGACCACTTATTGTTGTCCACTCACTGGTCACTCCTGTGGGAAATTTTGAAAGGTTTCTTTCCCTGCATTTATATGAAAGAATCAGGTTTCTTCAACTTTGGAGCAGTATGCTTTAATATAACTTGAGGCATTTAGAAGTTCAATAAGGAATGATGACAATATATGGATGAACAAATTCTTATGCCCCCGCCATATATGGCTGGGGGCATATAGGGTTACCCTCCGTCCATACGAAACAGGGAATGTACTCTATCCACTTCTCCACAAAAATGCTCTGTGGAATTCAATGAACCTATACATGGGTTTTCTTGGGACTCTAATGGTGTGCATCTCATATTTTGTTTTTGTATTTTATTGGGTTTTTTTTAAGTTTAGAGACATTTGAACTAATACATTTTGCTGAATTTCTCTATGACGATAGTGTAATAGGGGATGAAGTCTATCCACTTCTCCACAAAAACTGTTCAACAGAATTGAATGAACTTACACATGTCTTTCGTAGGGACTCTAAAGGTGTGCATTTCATAATTTTTTATGCTATTTCTTAATTTTCTATTCAGCCGGTTCGTTCCATCCAACAGGGGGTGTACGTTATCCACTTCTCCTCAAAAACTACTTTATGGAGTTCATTTAGATTACACATGTGCTTTAAAGCGACTCTAAAGGCGTGCATCTCATATTTTGATTTTGTATTTTATTTATTTTTCTAATTTTTATGCCATTTGAACTTACATAAATTTTGTTGAATTTCTCTCTGAATATGGTGTTATAGGGGATGAAGTCTATCCGCTTCTCCACAAAAGCTGCTCAACAGAATTGATTGAGCTTCTATGTGTGTATCATTGGAACTCTAAAGGTGTCCATCTCATGCCTTGTTCATCCAATTTCTTAATTTTGTCACTTCTACAGATGTTTGAACTTAATTGAATTTGGTTCTATTCATCCTGTTTGTCCCAAATTTGTGTACTTATCCACTTCTCCTCAAAAACCACTGCACAAAACTCATTTAGCTTACATGTCTTTTATAGAGACTCTAAAGGTGTGCATCTCATATTTTGTTTTTGTATTTTATATTTTTTTGTATGTTTAGAGACATTTGAACTTAGGTACATTTTGTTGAATTTCTCTGATGATAGTGAAATAGGGGATTAGGTCTATCCACTTCTCTACAAAACTGCTCAACAGAATTGATTAAGCTTATACGTGTGTTTCATTGGGACTCAAAGGTATGCATCTCATAGTTGCATAGATGTTTATTGAACTTGTTCATGAATTTTGTTCAATTATTGATCTTTATATGATAATAGGTTGTGTTATCTAACCCCTCAACACATTGTTTTTAGTGTTTTCAAGTACTTCAGTGGGACCCTGAATGTGTGAACTCTTCCTACAGCAGCAGGGGCATCCGTGTCCCTGGGACAAATTTTTTCTTGTTTATTACAGTGAGAAAGAAGTTGCTCATCCATATATTGTCATCCTTCCTTATGCTTTACCCGTAACTCGGGTTAGAATTGATCTTCCGTAACCCATGCTTGTAAGAGGCAGCAACTAACGAATGGGGTGGTCAAGCTGGCTGGCTTGGTTGACACATGTCATCGGTTCCCAAATGCGCAGCTCGATGCTCATGCTGCTGATCACTGGATTGTCTGGTCCAGACTCGATGATTTACAGACCACCGCCATATAGCTGGAATATTGCTGAGTAAAATTAAACTCACTCACTCACTCACAATTCTTTAATATAGCATGATAAATCAGGCATGCTGGAGTAGACTGTATCACACACCTGTGTTGTGAGGGGCCACGATGTTACCTGTTTGCTTGGTGAGAGATGGGGGCAACAAGTAGGGAAGAAACATGGTATCTCAGTCTTGGGAGGTAGGATAGCCAAGTGGTTAAGGGTTTGCTTTTGATGCCATCTGCCTAGGTGAAACCACATGGGAATAATGTGAAACGCGTCTGTGTCGCGAGCTGTGATAATGCTGAAATATTTTGCTAATAGAGCGTAAAATATACAATAGGATGTTATGTGTAGTGAGTTTGTATTTTGCCCTGTTGTAGGGGTGGTGGTGTTTGAATGATGATCAAATCTGGAACAGACAAACCATGTGATGTTTGATCTTGATGTAGCTGAAACAAAGCTGACTGGAGGTGAGTGAGTTTAGTTAAACACAATATTCCAGCTATATGACGGCGGTCT